AAAGGTAACAGTAGGAAGCACAATGAAATAGACTTGAGGTATGATGACGTTTCCTTGACTGTCGATTAGGAACCTTGCGGGAACCTTGTGGGAAACTTGCGCCGGGAACCTCGGGGCCACGTTGTGGGAACCTCGTGGGAACCTTGGAGCAAAGCTGTGGGAACCTTGGAAGAACCGTGGGGCAAAGTTGTGGAACGATGTTGTGGGCACCTTGGGAGCCTTGTGGGGCAAAGTTGTGGGAACCTTACCTTGCAAAAAAGTTGTGGGAACCTTGGAAAAACCTTGAGGGGCAAAGTTGTGGAAACCTTGTGGGAACCTTGGAGCAAAGCTGTGGGAACCTTGGCCTTCGGGCAACCTTGGAGCAAAGCTGTGGGAACCTTTGGTCCCTTGTGGGAGCCTTGTGGGAACCTTGCAGCAAAGTTGTGGGAACCTTGCGCGAACCTTGGAGCAAAGCTGTGGGAACCTTGGGGCAACCTTGGAGCAAAGTTGTGGGAACCTTGGGTGGTTTGTTGGAAACTTGTGAAGCAACATTGTGGGAACCTTGGGGGGCCTTGTGGGGGAACCTTAGGGGGTGCCTTGCAACAAAGTTGTGGGAACCTTGGAGCAATCTTGTGGGAACATTGGGAAACTTGTGGGGCAAAGTTGTGGAAACCTTGGAGCAAAGCTGTGGGAACCTTTGGTCCCTTGTGGGAACCTTCAAGCAAAGTGGGCAAAGTTGTGGGAAGCTTCTGGGAACCTTGCAGCAAAGTTGTGGGAAGCTTGTGGGAACATTGGAGCAAAGCTGTGGGAACCTTGGGGCAACCTTGGAGCAAAGCTGTGGGAACCTTGGAGCAAACTTGTGGGAACCTTGGGAACCTTGTGGGAACCTTGTGGGGCAAAGTTGTGGGAACGTTGTGGAACAAAGTTGTGGGAACCTTGTGGGAACCTTGGAGCAAAGCTGTGGGAACCTTGCGAACCTTGGGGGGGACCTTGTGTGGCAAAGTTGTGGGAACCTTGTGGAACAAAGTTGTGGGAACCTTGTGGAACAAAACTGGAACCTTGTGGGAACGTTGGAGCAAAGCTGTGGGAACCTTGGGGGAACCTTGTGGAAGAAAGTTGTGGGAACCTTGGGAACCTTGCAGGAACCTTGGGAACCTTGCAGGAACCTTGCAGGAACCTTGCAGGAACCTGGCGGGAACCTGGCGGGAACCTCGGAACCTTGTGGGAACCTGGGGGAATGTCTTTGGGAGCAGCTCCGGCTTGCTCCGAAACCTTTACTATGGCTGAAGACCCCAAAGCATGTTGCTGTTGGGGAAAAAAGCACAAGGGAGGTGCACTGCACCAAAGCAGGTGCCCTCCAAACAAACTCTTGCCTAAGTACCAGCCTCATAACTACAGGCTTGGACACAACAAAAGACACGATATGGCATGAAGCACCAGAATTTAATCATGACCGTTTCGTAAAGTAGTATTCACAATTCTTGACAAAATCATTCGACAAATGGGAGAAACAACCAACCAACAATAACTTTGCCAATCCTTTGCCTGTGTCACTTTGACCCACAGACTCAAAGACTGACAAAACACTTTCTCTGGGATTCGCCCGCTACGATTGCTATCGCCGTCTGCCAAGTAGCAGTCACACGAGGTGAAAACCTCGGAAGAATGCCGAGGAGTCCACTCAAAAGCTAGGAGGTCTCGGAGGCACCGTCAAGTGGTTAACTGTCTGTAGCTGTCTCACTGCTAAAGTTGTTCAAATCTGACTACCATAAAAGCCTCATGCATCCAGAATCATCAAATTTATCAATTGATATTAGAAGCATATTTCAAAGCACTTCCAACATGTCCACTTTTTGCCGTACACTAGATCCAAAGCCTGTGATGAGGTTTGCACAGCTGTTGACATTCCAAATTCTATTTCAACACAATTCTGCCGACTGAGTTGGCACAACACCAGTGCCACACCCTCTCAAAGTGCATCTTTCCAAATCAAGGGCACGACCCTGTTGTTTGCCACGTGGACCAACCCACTTGAAACTATCGCTGGTTTCACCCATCCCGATGAAAGCCACGGCACTCGGCACCCACCAACGGCAGGAGCCGGCCATGTTGGAGACTCCGGGCGCTTCGCCGCACAGAGATCCTGAGCCGGTCCAGTTGGCCTGGTCGAACTTGAAGCAGGTCATGCAGCCATGGGGTTTATGGACCTGAAAATCCTCAAACATAGCTGCATGACCTGCCGGTGGTCCATAGTACAAGCAGGTCATAGACCACCCGAAGATCCTCAAACAAAATTGATTGCCTTTTTGCTGCCATAGCTCTGTCCCCAGTGATCCCAAAGCCTGGTTGTTGCATCCACCCCATCTGCCTCAGCTGATCTAAACGTGGCTGGGCGCCATGCACCCACATCGGCGATGCGCCCACTCGGGTCCGGGCGATGTGCTGGGCGCCATGCATGAGGCCACTCACCGGCTGGGCGACAGCACCACGAACTCCCTTCAAAAAGCCTTCCCCCAAGCCACGCCAGCCTGTGCGCAAACGACAGGAGTGGAGTTGGAAGCAACAGTAAAAAGCAAAAAGCAGAACAACAAAGTAGAATGGGAGAGAACAGGTTGTACACGTGATTCTACGAGTTTGCATGAAGCTAAAGGATTTCCTTCAATATTGGATGACAGCACTTTCATTTGGCAAGAAACAGTGGCCGCCGCAAACAGCGGTGCGACTTGAAGGATCTTATATAAATGCCATACAAAGCCATGAATGTCCTTTTCTTTTGATATTTTTGACCAATAGATTTATGTAGAGCTGCCAGGAACACCACAACGAAGCTACGGCATCCGGAACCCATCTCCACACCTTTGTCTCGAAAGCCATGGATCGGTGCTTTGACCAGTCCAGTCATCCCAGAGACCACATGGCGCCCAAAGACCTCATGGCGACCAATGCGGGAACGAGAGATGTCCTGATGTCCCGGAGCGTCCAATCGAGTGTGGCTGGAACGTCACTTGTCACTTGCTGCCCGCCTGTGTGCCAACGATCACGCCATCACCCACATGATTCACGCTGCCAGGCCTCGAGCGGACGAAACACCTGGAAGACCCTTGCGTAGATCCATGTACTCTCTGCTTCTTAAGGCCTGGAATCTCTATGAATCTCTCATATTGAAGCACTCTTATTCAGTACGAAGCACATGCCTCAAATTTTTGGGCCTGGAATCTGCATGCTGCATCTGCTTCAGTCAAGCAAAGGAGCAGGGTCCAGAGTCCAGCATCAACCGATTTCTAATCCATCATGCAAACATGTGTAGTCAGAATATAGTCATAACATACATGTGTAGCCTGTACATTTGACCTAACCGAGCCAAAGCGTACACCTGCATCTTGCGTGCTTCCTGGAAGCTGCCACATACCTCATGTCAAAGATTTCCGGCTACAATTATCTCAACATAAGCCCAGCAGCAAGTAGTTTTGACCTGCGTCACCCGTCTGTGCCAGCGCATCCACGGTATCGCCTCCGGATCGAGGCTTTTGGCGTTGGGGTTGGACAGGACATGGAAACAACGACCACGATAAGGCCGGGGCCGGGTATTAAAGCGACAAGCATATCAAGGGCCCAGAAGAATAACAAGTGAGTCAGAAGGGCAAAGGGACTGTTACAAGTATCAAAGAAATCATTTGCCGAGAGAGCTTGTCTTAAGATTTCCGGCTTCTCTTTGACGGTGACAAAAGAACGATGTATGGCTGCATTGCCTGGTGTTGCTCGACAACGCTTTTATGGTCCCGAACTGGAAACAACAATGTGCAACCACAATCATTACGAGTTTTTCTTCTTAAAGGAATGTTGATGGCAGTGGGAAGCGATGTGCGTTAAATAAAACAAAACAACAGTTTGACCTGTGCTGAATGGTTACTGTAAATGCTGGAGGCTGGTTGGAGGATCTTTGCACACACATGAACACGGCTCCAAGCGCTCCTTCCCGTTGGATGCAAGGAGCCCCACGGGGCGCGCCTAGCGCTCCAAAGAACTTGCCCACGTGAGCAGCAGTGCCGCCAACCACTCCTGACGCATTCTTGACCGTTTCGGGTTGGAGCCCCCTTGAATGAAGTTCACAAAGGTACAAATCTCCGAGGATCTCCTGACTGACAATGTTACTGTCCGTCCTTGGGCCAAGCTCAGCACGCCTTCCCCCTTCAAGTCGCCCTGGAGGACCTCGCTGCCCGTCTTCAGGAAGAACTGCTTCACACCACCTGTGCCATCGCCCGTCCGACGAAGCACTCGCCTGGCCCGACTGGGAGGCCGGTGGCCGGGAGGCCCGTGGTGATCCGGTTTGATCGGTAAGTCCTCACACCCCTAGTGCATCAGAGTGGTCAGTGACCTTTGTCCAAAGAATGGGTGACTTCAATGGGTGCCTCACAAAGGACCTGGTCACATACAGGACCTGGTCAGTGACTCAAAGGAACCCCCACGTGAATCTCGGTCGGGTGTTTAGGATGTCTCCGTCGCAACTTCTGGGCACCCACCCGGAACCCCCACGTGGTTGTCCACCCACTTGGTTGTCCACCCACTGACAAGATTGGGGCCCTGCAGGCAAGGACATCCCAGCAATGGCTCATAAATATGGAGGAGGGGAACCCGGAGTCCCGGAGGGGAAGAAATTCACATGGGGCAAACATGCCTGGAGTCCATGAAACAACGCTGCCCGACAACGGGCGCCCAATTTCGCCCCATTTGGGACGCTCTATATAAACTGACTCTACACTTCGGAGTGCTCCGACATGACTGATTCGGAGTAGCACGCCCTTTTTGGCATCGTTTTGCATCAGCTTCATGTGCTCCCGGAGGGTCACCAAGTTCTCCTTGGCCATATCATCACCCTGTTCAGCGGCTCTCTCCCACAGCTGTTCGCACTTGAACAAATCCTGCTGCACCATATCACCTCCTCAGTGAGAACAGCTTCAAATTATGGACGACGGAAGGTCACATGAAGTGTTGAGGGATCTGGTTGGCTGGGAAGAAGCAGTGAAACCTGGGTCATTCGACTTTGGGCCCATTCATTCGATTTGCTTTTGACTGATGCCGATGCTTCTTAATTTCTTTTGAACTGCTTCCAGCCCAGTTGGTGATATGGGAACAGTCTTTAGTGACTTTGTAGATATTAGGACCTAGGAGGCCGTTTTTCCACTACGCCTGCGCAGACCCCAAATATTATGAGGCGCACCTCCGCAATGACTAGGCATCCTACAGCCTACAGCTGCCAACTGGGTCCTTGGAATGCAAAATCAGCTATATAGTAGGCCAGACGGTTCACAAGGGTCGTGTGGGTCGTGATGGCTGTTTTTTTGGGACGGCTTGCAGCTTCAAGTTGCAATCTCGAGGGCGTGGTTCCACTCGCAGGGTTCTGCTAGAGAAGTATGGTTCTATGAGAAGTAAGAGCCCACATGCTTGCAGTTCTCTGGGTGAAGAGCGACTACAAATCTGCCCGATCGACATCTCCCTGCCACAGCGTTCTTCTACCTTTGCATAATTTCTACATCCGGAAAGTGATTGCCGAGTAGATGCCAAACTTCCAAGTATATATACGCAAATATCATCAAATATCATATTCGTACATATAGAAGTGAAAGTATAAATGAAAAATGAATGATGAAAAACATACGAGTGAAGTTCAACTTTCCAACAGCAAAGCAACATGGCCTCACACACCCTCCCACAACGCCAAGAACACATGACAAACATTCTGCCTGTCTGGTGCAGGTCAAAAGGCGATAGTAAGCCAAACCGAGGTTGAATTGGGCGTTGGCGTCTCCATTCGCCGCCTCTTTGGCCCAGATTTGCAGCTCGGGTGGCAGCACCTCGGCTTTCTGAGCCTGACCATGTCGAGAGGAAGCGCGATGGATATGATGGATTGGACGGTGTGGAAATGATCAGCATCGAATTGAGCATCAACTGGACCAAGTTCAACATGAAGCACTGATGAGTCTGCAACTGTTCATCAGCTTCAAGAATGACCATTCCAGCAGGCCAAACTCACATGGATCTGCTTCCAAGACCAAAGGACAGTTCTGGGAGTGGGAGCATGATCAATCGAAGGGTGTGTGTATGTGGATATGTATCACTATATATATATATATACTGTATATATTTATATATTATATATATTATACGAGTTGCAAAAGAACAGCTTTCTCTGTTACAAAGATGAGTCTGGGAGAGTCTCGATGTCATCTCTGGGTCCAAACCCAGCACCTCCAGCTTTTCTGCCATGGCCTTTGCAAGGCTATCACCCTTTCCTGCAGCTTCCTGGAAGAGCATCAAGGCCTGCGTGGATGATTAACCGTCGCTGGTGGTCCAGCCTGAGAAAGACCTTCAGTGCGCTTAAGTTGACCTAATGGATTGCAAAGCCTCCCGAGGCGAGCCAAAAATCCAAAGCACCTTGCCTGTGAGGGTGGTTTGTGGGTTGAATGTTAAAGGTGGACCTGTTCAGTTTTTTTGGGATCACTTACTTGCCCAGTGCCAACATCATTTCAGCATGCTCTGGACATTGAGAGTCCGCGGCCCTTGGCCCTTTTCTCCCTGCCTTTTCATTGTCTTTTGCAACGCCATTGCCCTTCAAATAGGCCAAGGCCACCAAAAACATGGAGGGAAGATGCCCCTCATCTGCCCAGCAGCGAAAGGTGTCCAAATTCTCTTTCAGCCTCAGATCTTCAAGCCGAACGCCGAAGGCCGTACGTCCTGAAGCTTCGCTCGTCTGTAGTCCCAAATGGCAATGGCGGACCATGGATCAAAACCTGAAAACCTGAGAACTGCACTGTTATGGACTGCACAACAGCAACTTTGGCCATGGATGTTCGTTCTCGGGCCGAAAATGGCAGGTTTTGGTTTTGACCGATCCGAAGTGTTGGATTTGTCTCAGGCAGCACCAGTAACCAAGCACCGTAGGCAAATGATCCGACATTAGTGTACAGCCACGTCGATAGCTTGAAGCGCCTGCCTCACTCTGTTCGCCTCCATCTTTTGGATGTGCCCTCTGGGTTTGAGCAAAACACGCCATGGTGATAGCTGAGCCCATCCCATCCATCCCCACTTATCCCCATACTCCCCTTCGGCTCCGTGACAGCTTGGGCAGCACCGTCCCCGCGCCGGCCGCGTCGAAGGCCAAGCGGAGCCCCTGCCGCAGCAGCTCGGCGGCCTCGCGGCAGCGCGCGTGGGTGGTTGGGAGGCGGAGCGCGGCGGTGGCGCCACGCCAGTACGCCTCCGCGGGGCGCGGCGATCTCGTGGGTTGGGTTGGTGGGTTTGGCTCCTCTTCAATCTCCCTAAACTCGTTTAGTCTTGAAATGTCTTCAATCTTCCTCGGTGCGGTCTCCTGCTTCAAATGGGCGAGGCATCTACTGATGACACAATGGCCCAACAAGCATTTTAAGTTGTCAATCTGTCTGTTATAGTTATAGGGAGCACCCCCTACATAAAGCTTCAGCATTTACTGTAAGCCAATTTGAGCGTACTCAAATGTCTCTGAGTCCTTCAGCGTCAGTGGGCAGAGCATTTGTTAAAGAAAGGATCTTCCACAGGACCGCCACCCTGGTGCACCGGGCTTAGCCGCTGACTTTGGCGTTCTGGAAGTCCACCTGGGAGGAGATCGAATTGCCACGTGGTTATTAGGGAATCATAAGCAAGTGATTCATGCATTCCATGGAGCATCTTCTCCAAAGGCATATGTAGTTGGAAACACCCCTGTGAAACACCAGAGAAGTGGTCCAGCCATGAGTAGCTTTCTCAAAACACATAATTTTTCGTGGTAGATCCTGGTAAAGGCCTGTGCTCAAAGACAGGAGCAACATTGAGCAACGTCCTCACACCATACGTTTACTGTTTACCGAATCACACAAATATGGTGCACGGCCTCCAAGGCCTTGCAGGAATCGTCCAAGGCCAATTCCGGCTCATCCAGCAGAAGATGCACATGTGCACGGTTGGCACAAATCTGGGCTACTGCCACTTTCAGTGCTTCCAAATCCTGGACCACCACTTCTCGCTGGTGTGTCATTTGGCGTCCGCTGGTCTGGAGGGCTGGTGTCATTTGGCGTCACCGGTGCCAACGCAAGGCTGACAAAATGGTTATTGAATCACAAGTAATTGTGCTGCAAACCATGTCATGACCGCTGATGCGACCATCTACTTCACCTAAGGACTGCTTACTGTGATGCTCCATCTTAAACCTACTCCTCAACTGTCCTCGACACCTGAAGCGGCGAAGCAGGTCCTCCGCCAGGCCCCGGAACTCGTCAATGGCTTTCCAGCCAATCAACAGCCCTTCGCTGTAGCACTCCACAGCCCCGAGCTTGTCCTACACGTCACAAGCAGTCACTAGCAATTGACCGTCTGGGCCCGGCCCTCGCTTTTCAGCTTCAAATCTTCAAACCTCTAAGCGTCCAACACCTGCTTTATCCCATTGATTGGAAGCTGGTTCTGGCATGTTCTGGCCAAGTGGATCTAAGATGATCTAATCAAGGAGCTCTCTTCTCAAGGCGTTTGGTCATCGCTTTTTGGCCCCCGTCTGCCCAGCGCTGCTGTGTCACCGTCCTCAGCCTTCAGCTTCGAGTTGCCTTTCTCCTTCCACTCCACCACCAGCGGCAGAACGTCGCTCATGGCGCTGGTAGTGTAGCCGTGCTGTGCAAAATGTCCTAATTACTTAGTGTACGCTTCATGCATTCACGTACCTTGGGATTAACTCTCTATAGAGCCGTGGCCATCGATTCTGGATTCCAGTGCCTGCGAGCAACTTTGAGGCATTTTGTCTATACTTACTAATTGTTCACATGTTATATATACCGTTTAGAGCAACAGCACGTGTGCTTCATCTAGGTTCGACTCAAAGCATGTAGTAACGTAGTACTAAACTTGACCAATCATCCAACCAATCGAGCCACCTTGGTTGATGCGAAGGATGTCACAAGCCGATAGCGGCTTTCAGCCATGCTGTGAACTGATAGGAGCCACAACCGCCAGAAAACTGCTGCCACAGCCAATCTTCCGTTTCCCTCGGTCTCATCCCTGGCCTAGTGTTGTCATGACGGCTCTTTTTTTCAAGTCCCCGTTCCTCTTGGAGAACGTGTTTGGGCTATTCTTCAGGGGTGGTCCACCAAAAACACACGTGGGCATCGCTATTCCTTGCAGTTGCATCCATGGCCGTGACCGATCGATCAGCACACCTCCCACTGACAAGGTCCAACCGATAGGATCTCCCAAGATGTTCATGCTGCCCAGGACCTTGTAGGATTCCCACCTGCGCTGCCGATCTCTCTCTTTCCCGCTGCCCGTGCCGCCAATGAAGGAGCAAACGGGGTTCCAACACATCAGACCGTGCTGTGCATCTGTGGAGGATAGAGTAGTGGTGAGAATTGGCATTCTCAAACAAAGGCAAAGCCCACTGCCCACAAACGGTAATCAATTTTGCTGACTTCTGTTAAATGACTCGACCCATACATTTCACACAGGACCGTCCAGTTCTCCACCCATCAGTCCCCGCAACTGCTGTATTTTCCCTGGCGCACATGCCATGCTTCATGTAGTTTCGGAAGAGGCCATTGGCGAATGGAGTCAAGTCTGTGAACTCCGACTGAATGACGGTCCTGGCGATTGGCGGCTCTCGGCGGTTTAGGGCGTGTTGGGACGGTTCTTAGGATCCATTGTTTGGAGATATTTGGCTTGAGTACGTCGTGCGTTTGAGTCTATATCTGGATCCTGCCAAGAAATGGTTCTTGAGGGTTCTTCGTCAAGATTTTGATCTACGTTTCTTGGCTGTGTCAGCTGAGTCTCTCAGGGAGCGCAAATCTGGGCGTCACGTGGCCAATGCTCGATAGCACACCACTGCCCACCTGAGGTTTCTCAAATGGTGCCACTCGTGCGGCGCTGAACGGATGTCACAGCTCCCAACTGATAAGCTCCCAGCTCCCCATCCTTTCGGATCACAAAACAGCCCCCCAATGCATCTAAGACTGAACGGCAATTCGCTCTCCAAAAACCATGGTAAAATGCATCCAAGACCTTCGACATCTGGGGTGAGCTTCAAGTTAAAGCCTACGACGATAGCTGATTGCTCAATGGAGCTGTCAGCGTACTTTCACGGTATTTGCAGAGAGCCCTAACACTCCAAAAAAACACCCACCTGAACCGAACCCTATTTCAAGTTGTCGAGCAGTCTGGTAGGGATGGTTTTCTAGTATCTATCTCTGTATACATATATTAAGTATATAATACATCTTAGATAGACTTCAAAACTTGTTCTGAGGTTGCGATATGTGCAATATCTTGATACAATCTCAATAAGCAGTCAAACCATATTGGTTTAGTCTAAATTATGATGGTACGATACTTTGCTGATGCTGATATAAATTACATGCTGCATCACATTCAACATTATCTATCACTATCTCCCCAATGATAACTGCCCTGGCATTCGGAGCTCCAACACCACCAGGCGGCGCTGGTGATCACGAAGACCAAGCCCTTCTGTGCCACAGTCAGCACCGTCCTCGGGGTCAGTCTTGCCTTCTGTCTATCTTCTACCTTCAAGGATGGCATAGGGCAAACTTCCGGGAAAACCAATTCTTATCGCGGCCACGTGAGCTACTGTACAGGAATGCAATGGTTTCGTTCCAAGTGCGGGAAAGTAGAAGGTGTCGTCATGTAGATTCATCTTGAGACGGCCTAACTGGCGTGGCATCGCAAAAACAAGGGCAGGGGGTGCAACTCCTTTCATGGCTTGCGTCGGGAAGTCTATGCAAAACTGCGAGGCGGCTGTGGTTGACCAGTTGATCCTTTCTCTGAGTCAGTGTCATCCTTCCACTGGCTGCGGGTTGCCATTCTGATGCATGCCTCTCACGTGATCGTTCATGATCTTTCTCATTTTCCGTGATAAACTGCTACATGGAAGAGCTGCACGGGACATGAGACAGCACATGACAGCACACCCTTTTACCGCTTACTGCCCAAGAATCGGGTCAGCCTGGAGAAGAAACCTTCGGACATATTGGGCTCCTCCACGGCTAGAAAATCTAAGATTGGATACACATGGACTTGGCCTTTTTCGCAATGAGCGATCACTTCCACTCCGTTCTTCGCCAGCAGCTCTTCCAAGCGTTCAATCTGATCGCGGAAGACTTCGGCGCCCGCGTACTCCAGCAGCACCGGCGGAAAGCCTTCTGGCCATTTGAAACAAGACGCTACTAGGAACAAGTGCATCGCTTCTAGTAACAAGTGCCTTACTAGTAGTAGCAAGAAGCTATTAGAAACAATAAGCTACTAGTAACAAGTATATACCCAATGCCTGCCTTCTGGCCATGCAAGCCGTCGGGCAGGTGAGACGACCGGATCCTCGAGGGGCGTGTCGCCTGCATAGATTTCTGCCACGATGCCAGCTTGTTGAGAGGGAATGAAATCGATCTCCTGGTTTTCCACCCAGGATTTACTGCTGGTGTCTGTCAAATCCACCCAAGGCGAAAGGAGGACTACACCAGCTGAACCAGCTGCCTTGTCCTCTTCCAGTGCCAAGCGAGCCACTTCCAGTGCCAAGTTGCCTCCCGCACTGTCACCACCCACGAAGATCCTGTTTTTCCCGCCCCTCAGCGCCTTGAAGCTTGTCCAAACATCTTCATGTGGTGTGGGAAAGGGATACGTTGGAGGCTTCCGGTAGTCAGGGCAAAAGACTGCACACTGGGAGCGAAGTGCCACCCGTGCCAAAAACTGACGATGTGTCCCTGGCGAACAAAACATGAAGCCACCTCCATGTGCCCAAAGTAGCAAGGTATCCTCCTGTGAGTTTTCGTCAGGCAAGAGCCACTCTCCGGGTACACCAGCTACGGTGTCCGGCTCAACTGTAACGCCTGCCGGTAACGTCAGTGATGGGAATCCTACTTTGTTGATTAGGGGCTGTAGGTATTCGACATTCGGAACCACCAGCATGGAACGAGGGATCGTCCTCAGTGTCTGCCGGAATAGAGCCACCCCCAGTCGGAGTGTGTAAGGCAATGTCATCGCCGTCAAAATGCTAATGGGCAAAATGCACAGAGTTAAAAACTGAATGTATACAATGCATATACACCTGGTTAGTCGTGCCGGTGTTTGTATATCGTGGACCCCTACCAGTTACATGATACATGCAAATAGAATGTTGATCCCTGCCAACATCGCTTGGGCCTTGTTTCAAGTTGTTCCGAAGGCGCTACATGACTCGAGGCTTGACCAAACGATCTGTCTCCCATCTAATCCAATTCAACGAGCTTTGAAGTTTTGCAGAAACAGTCTGTCTGGGGGTAAAGCACCATGTTACAATGTCAGTCTGCTTGAGCCTGGACTCCTTCAGGTGTCCACAAATATCGACCATCTGAGCTCTGGGGCTCCACAAGAGCGCTGTCGATGCGAATCTCTGGCCCAGTCCGGCCCTGTCCGCCAGTGCTGAAGCCAAGTAGAGTCAGTGATTGATTGATCACCACAACGAAAACCCTTTGCACATCTTGTGTTTGTGAATTGGATCACATCGATTTGATTGGCCTGGGCGATGCAACAAACTATACACCATTCACAGTTTTCACTCTGGGTTACATTACAACCATCCACTGGTCCTCCTTTTTCCGATGCTTGGGTCATGTGGAACCCACCCGCAATCACGCAGGCAAACCAGTGCCGGAGAAACGAGATACGGGGTGTTTGAAAAGTTGGCGGAAGGCGGCACCACCTTCATATTGAACGAACCGAGCACACCTTCTTCATCCCTTTCTCACATGATATAATACTTATAATAACTATACTATAATTCATAATATATATATATATATGTATATATAACTATAGATATTATATATATATATATCATTTGTATCACATTGCTTCTCTGTTGTTCGTGTTCGTGTTCACATCGACCTGGGCATCCCCTCCACTTTCTTGGCGACCCGTCTGAGACCCCCCCGAGACCCGTCTTCCCCGCGTGCTTGCGCCCAGGCACTTCATGAGTCCATGGGAGCGGTACGTGAGTCGAGCCAAGACCCGGGAGAGCCACATGGACCTGGGAGAGGTCTCCGGTGAGGACGAGGTCTCCGGTGAAATGGCTCGGGGCCAAGCATTCATCACAGAGGGGCACAAGCATTCAAATGCCACTGATCCTTTTGATCCTTTTGTTCTGAGAGGTCTGAAGCAACTGACTTTGGAACAAGCTTCTTTGTAGGACAAACAGTCAATAGGACATCAATGGACGTAATATGACCCTCTGCGCCTCAGGTCGGCGGTGTGTCCGAGCGTTCCTGGTTCAAACAGCCACGCCACTGGAGCCATTGTGTGTCGAACTGGTCCTCTGCATCCTGCACCAATGCAAGGGCGGGCAAGGGGAAGCTTGTCAGCTGCCTATCCCAGGCGGAACTATATAGGTTTCGACCACTCACCCTCCTCTGAAGGACCCGCAGACTTCAATCATCTCGATAGAGCTTGGCGTGTAGGCATATTGGTTAGAAGCTCCAGTAAATGGTCCAACAATGTACACGTTGTCGAATTAAATAACGTGGCCCGAATGCCCTACTTTCTGTAACATACTGCAACTGTTCCCAGCAAGTTCCTGAATGTGGTCACTTCAAATGAAGTAAAAGAAGAGCCAATAAGGCCACAAAACACATCTTGTCACAATCTTGTCCTCCTGTCTTGTCCGGGAGAAAAAGAAGCAACTTGGAATGTCCCGCGTCAAATTTAATGAATTCGTAGCGATCGATATACAGGTCCTGGTCAAAGAATCACCGCACTTCTCGCACCAATGACCTCCCTCCCAACCCAGAAAAAGTATGAAAAAGTAGAACACACACACACACCGAGAAAGGGATCAAGCAAAAAGGGACCCGCCTTTCTCCCCCCAAAACCGAAACCCGACCGACCCCACGACCGACCTCCAAGGTGGTCGCGGAGTCCGAACCGGAGGCCGCCTGGGTGATCGGATCGGCAGTTCGATCGGGCGATTTGGTCTTCCACTTACGGTGGGCCGGCTGAGACGTTGCGGATGTGTGTGTGTTTTTTTTTTGGTGGCAGGTCATTTAGAAGCGAGGTTCAGTCGATGTCGATGTCTTAGGACCAGCAAACCCAAATCAAGACACTGTATCTTCCAGGACTGACTGTAATTAATTGGGGTACCCTTGACCTAATTAATTGAGCCTTTCTTAGCTTGAGTACAAGATGCAACCAAAAGTCAAGGACAGGTTAACAAGCGACTCAGCCCAAATCTGAAAGTGCCCGTCGATGTTTTTGTTCGGGCCTCGCCCCTTCAAGGACTTTGCCCCATTTATGGTCTGCAAACACTCCAAATACATTGAAGCCGATTCACGCCCTGTTGAATCTGGCAAGAGTCCGTCTCAGAATTGATATGAATAGCATTGAATAGCTTTCCTTCTTCTATTATTCTTTTTAACTGCCTTTCCGTCTAAACACCACCGTCATCCTCAGGTCTGCTTGAGCACGCAAACGCGGAAGTTTTCTTGCTAGGTCTCAGGTCTAGATTCGACATGATTCGACTCATTGCTTTGTGTAGCAGCGAGCACATCTCAAACTTGTCAGAAACTCAAAATCAGAACTTCTGATGCCATTTATGTTTCACCTTCTCAAAGACCCCCCAGCCCAAGTTGTCAACATTTGGATACATTGGGGACATTAATACTGGAAAGCTATTTCGGAGCTCAGTAGGGGGAACTCAATTAATTTTCTGCCCGGGGGGGAACTCAATTGACCTTATTCTAAGGACATATCATATGTTAAAAGGGTTTCTGCTCAACTAACTTTCAGGTGGAAGAGTGACCAAATTGCACCGGACCGTCCCCAAACCAGGACTTCTGGGTTCCGAGGGACTTCAGGTTTCACTACCCCACAAGATTGAACACTTGTCTTGGTCTCGGGAGCCGAAGAACAGGATCTTTCTGGGTCGCATACCTTCACACCTTCACTGATCGCATCGGATCCCTCACAAAACCCTCCTCCAACCACCTTCTGACCCTGCGGAATATAACGAAGTGCGCCTTGCTCTGCTTGAGAATTTTTGCAGTTTTTTTCATTGGCATCAGGAACTCCACTTGTGCGATCAAGGCTCCTTGCGGCGTAACTTGGGCTAAAACCCGGGGATTGCTTGGAAGCCTAATCACAAAAGATTGAAGCTTTCGGTTCCTCAAAGTGCATTCTTTGGCACGACTGTGGCGTATCCAAAGTCGAACGTGCGAGGATAAAGGACACATAAAGGGTGTTCCACTTCCTACTGCGGATGTAGAGTATGGGGCAACCTAAGCCCGTGAAGATCTTTGTTGTCTTATCCATTTGAACGCTTCAATCCTTCTGCACTTCTTCTATCTATCTATATCTATACACATACTCGACTCGAAGCATGCTAACTCATGCTAACTCAGCATGCTGGAGTCTGGGCAACAAAAAACAACCTGTTCGTTGCACCACAGGATTTACAGGGTGTCCCACCTGACGCCTCCGGTCCTCGTTCAAAGGACGGACGGCTCGGTCGCCGACCGCATCTGCGACCCTTCCCGCCGGGTGGACGGCTCCTAATCGGAACTGCTCCAAATAGATTGGTCGCAACGTAGTCTTGCCAGAAGGAACATCGATGCCTTTGCGCATCCGGGATGATGGCTTAGGATCATGATTCTCGGAGAATGAAAACACAAATTAGCAATGGTTTGGGTCCCAACACTTATGCTATGTTACGGCTTCTTGGATGATGCAATATTGTGTTGCAATGTCTTGCCGCTGCTGCCAAACCATTGCACACCAGCGACAAAAGGACACGTGCCAAATCAACCACCTATTGGATGGTATATTGTTTTATAGATTATGAGTCGGGGCCTTGCATTATCATACAGCCGATCTCATTGTGGACCAGCACCGCGGGGGAGAGTAGCATTTGACACGGACCCAGGTTGCACGGTATTTGCCAAATCTTTCTGACCCCCCCAAAAGATGGAAGGACTTCGTGACTTCGTTCTTCAGGTGCCCAACATCTAGGTCCGTGGGTCTTGGCCGGGGGTCTTCGTGTAAAAAGGGTTGTCGCCAAGGTTATCGCTTTGGAATGATTTAGAGCAGTTCAATCAATGTGGACGACAAAATGATGACGATGATCACGCGCACCGCAGGTTGTATTTCACTATAATGAGTTTTGCCCGTTGCGTGAATGTGCACGACAGTATTTGGTTGGTTTACGCCAGGTTAAATGCACTGTTGTAGGCAATTGCAGGTTGTCGCTTTTTGGGTAGCTTTACTGTAGGTTGGGTACACTTTCTCAGCACAACTACTCCCTCCCTACAAACGGGACGCACGCTTGTTTTCTGTGACTCATCAACAACTTGATTCAACACGTCGACAAAATACCGCGCAAATACAGCTAATTGCAGCATTGGTGAAAACATGTGAAGACTCATCTAAACAAACAAACAGTAGGTATTTGCGATGCCTTCTGTGACCCTGCCTTCAATTCCAGTGCAGCTTGTAACTTTTCTGCATGTTTCGTTTTGCGACCACACACATGGCAAGACACAAACAATGTATATAAACCATTATTATCCATTCTTCTGGATATTGTGGATGACCATGCGCAGAAGCGCCTAAACCCATCACACAAATTACGACTCCGAAGGTGTGCACTCCAAAGGTGTGCATCTGGCAGAAGAAAACCATTAGCAGCTTAGCATTGGGACCCAAACTCGAGCACCTAATGATTCGATATGATACCCACCCCATTCTTGTAGCAGCCGAACTCTGGCCTCATGACAGGGTGCACAGGACAAACATCCTATGACACCTGATCCCACTAAGGCTCTCTGTCCTACTTCATTCATCTGTTTCTTTTTGACCATCCTAGCAGAAAAAGCACATGGCATCATGGTCATGATGACCACACCTTGCATCTCTACATTTCGGAATCGGTGACAGTTCGGCACTCTGAAATGTAAATCTGAAAACTTTGATCTCCATCTACCACCTGCAGTCTGCAAACAAGATCCTTGACACTCGCGGGCCTCCTTCTCGGAGGTGTCGGATTTGAGTCTCCATAATCTGGCGATCCTCTGAGGAGAAGCCTGCACAGTCAGGCTCACGAGGACTGGTTGGAGTGGTGGTGGGCAGCGAGATTTGTGGTGTTTCACATTTTCAGGATGTGTGTATGAGGTTGCGTGAGGCTTGCGATTAAGTCTTGAACCTCTACCATAATACAGTATAATTCCCTCCTTGTGGGACTGCTACCTTCAGAAGAAGGTGCCACCCTGTCGCATCCTTGCCCTTACAGATTTGGTATTGCATTTTTAGCTAGGAGCTTGGTTGGCCAACCATAGCACAAGTGTGCATTTTGCCCGGCTAGTAAGTAGTAGTAAGAGGCAGTTTCGTGACGACCACAAAAAGCACAAACAATGATAACAATTATGGGATGTCCAAAGCCTCAAGTCCATCATGTCCGCTCTTCTCCGACAACACCAACAAACCAGCGCTGCCAAAGCCACCTAAAACAGCTGGACCAGCGGCTGGTTCCCTCGTTTTCCGCCTTGTACCGCTGCAGCCGCGTTCGAGTTGCCGGAGGAGACCCAGCGCAGGAGCTGTTGGCCGATCTCGATCCAAAACCTCGGCAAGCGCTAGGTTTCCAAGACCAAAACGCTGGAAAAATGACCCAAGACTTTTTATCGTTCCCAGTCTAATTTTCCAGGATGAACCTCCCCGCACCGCGTGCGTTTTTGCGTGGGACAAAATCCGTGGTCTTTACGGCGATGGGACGCGATTGATTGCGGTGTGTTTCCCAGGAAGGTGTAAACTCTTCAGTCTTCTGGTGTAAAATGGTTAAAGAAAATAAGGTGTTCCCCCTCTTTTTATATAATATATATGTATAAAAACATATACGTCTGGGTCTGGGAATGTATTTATGTGTTATACACATACGTGCAGTATATATATATATATTATACCAATATGTTGTTTTGGGGGGCCCTTGGCACTTGGAGACATGCCTGGTGGGTAGTCATCAACAAAAAAGAGGTTACTGTTATACATATTGTGACCAAAAGGAGGCCAACTGCCCAAGGCCACAGCAAAATCAGTAAGCAAAAATCCAGCTCTTTTCCACTGGGCGAGGTGTCCGCGAAAATAGTCGGCTGCGGAAAAGCTCCACTTGGAAGCGGTCAGCCATTAATGCCGAAGCGGAGTCGGCAGCGCATGAGGCGCGGCCAGTCTGGTTCGGGCCAGTTCTCCACAATGTCCTGGCTGAAAGGCAAGGCTCCAAACGTCGCAAGCATGGAGACATGAAATGACAGCGGCTTTGTTCAATGGTGGGAAGAACACCTCTGCAAAAGCCTGCTAAAATGCACTCTCCATCTGGCATCATCTGGCAGCCCTAGAATCCCCCGAAAACCACTAATGGTATCAAATCAATTCAAATCCCAGAAAAATGCTGCTGAAAAAGGACACCCCCCCAAAAGAGGAGAACCCGTACCAAACAAACATATTGACGCATGAGGTTCCCACAGGCCCCCTCAACGACAGACCTGCGAAGGGCCGACCTTCAACGACTGAGAAAAAGCCCATGACACGATGTTTGACAACAATGCGATATCTTCCTAATATCTATATATATATAGTTATAGTTATTTTATATTATTTACATAATGTTTTTAAAGTTGTTTTTAAGTATACAAATCATTACTTATTTATACATTATCTTCCTAAGATCGCTCCATAAGTAATCTCATCCATTCTTCCAGTCTTGTGATGTGTCTGGAGGTCTTTGCAATACCAAAGGCCCCCCCAAAAGGTTTTTCTCCGCGCGTCATTGGAGACTTCATGAACCTCACCATCGATCTCCACGAAGCGTGCATCGGCGCGGGGGCCAGAGAGTCGCACCTGGAGAGTCGCGGTGTCGGACGTGACACGAAGCGAAACGGTCGGTGTCACGTGAAATGGTTCTCCACGGTGTGCTTGCGCACCAAGACGAGCTCTATACTGGTGTATGATATGTAGAAAAGGCCATGAAATTGAGGTTCAAAAAGCAGGCCAGGGCATCCCCAAGGTTGGGAGAGACCGTCGCCTTTTTGTGGTGCTCCTGCCGACTCCTGCCCAAAACATGTGAATTTCTGCTGGAAGTCTGCAACTGAGATGGTGCATTCAAGGGTGAGATGAACTGTCGCCTTGTTATAATTGAGATCTGGTCCATCAAAATGGACATGCAAAGACTCTAGATTCCATGGTGCACAAAGCGCGTTAGTGAGCTAGTGAAGACGTATGGTCGACCACCAGCAATGACTAACTTAGCAGCATGCAGCACTTATTAATTACACCATCTTAAAACCAAGTTTGAGGCCCCCATCTCTATCCCCAAAAAGGAACATCCACGTGACATCACATGACTATGTAGTCCTCACCCAGAAACAAATCGCTCACCCACTCTTCACTCATGTTCACCCGCCTGAGTCCGATCGACCACCACAGGCTCCCACATGCCCTCGGTGAAAATGCTCTCGCTCTCGACCTTCCCCGTGCGCGCCGGCAACTCCCAGGCCGCTGCCTTGGAGCCATCCTGTCAAGCCGCAGGCCAACGGTCCGGTGGACGGATTCGTTGGCCCGAGCGAGGTCGCACGTGCAACGGGTTTAGGAAGCAGTATTAACAGGTTTGCAACACCCTGGGGATCTGCATAGCTTTTCTTGGAGGGGGTGGTTTTATCCAGTTTTCTTCATCGGACTCTGTTAGGATGTAGCACCCGTCGCCTCTTGACAAACAAACCATCTTTGCCTTCCAATTCGTTCACTGTTGGGGCGTCTTCCAACCATGCGCGGCAGGCCGCGGAAGCGGTTCGGTCCTTGGCTTGAAAGTATCCACCCTTGGCACTCAGAATGTCGTGGATAGGCAGGGCAAACTTGTAACCAGCAGGTGCGTATCGCATTTCGCTTTCACCGGCTTCTTCCGTGGGTTCCAGTGTCTCACAATAAACATGGCCCAAGTGGATCTTCCAGCTTCCATAATGTTGCTCCCCCTGTGACGACCAGGCATCATAGGTTCGGGTCCAAGCCAGTCGGTAAATCCCGCCCGCGAAGAAGCTAAAGTTGTATCCCACGCTTTCTTCGAAATCTTCGCCCAATGGGCGGACCGCATTGTAACAAAAGCTGACGGACTTCTCCTCCAGAATCCGTCGCATGAAGCAGACCTGTGGGTCTGCTTAGGCCCAAAAAAAGGCCACAAAACACAAAGGGAGTAATACAAGATCCTGGTAATGTTATAGGTATCAGTAAATTCTAGTACGTGGCCCCAATTTTTTCTTTAAACTTGCCCACCAACATCAACATTGCATGTCTTATTTTTGAAGCCTTTGACCTGGGGCTCTAGCTTCAGCGCATCATAGAGATGCTCCTTCCAGGTCTGGCAACTGGAGGAGGCCTTGATTTCAGTCACATAGCTCAGGATGTTGGCCACCAAGCGATCGTCCAGGTGGGGCGACATTGCGGCCCCTTGAGCCCAGCTTGAGCTGCTGCTGTCAGCTGACAGCTCCCCAGCAACGAGGCCAAAACATTAGCAACTGCCCACCTTACAAAGCGAGTAGCAGTAGGGACATTCCCTCCAACATACCGCATCACATGAAGTGGACAACAAGCTTTGGGGAGTCGATGTTCCATGATTTTCCTCTGTTATAAACCAATGGTTTTCACCTTCCATGTTAGTGTTGGGTTGAGTTATCCATGCCATCAAGAAACCGGTGAAGGTGTCCATCGGCCCTACACGATGAGGGTCATTGTTTCATGACCGGAGGGCCACCAAGGTCCAAATGTACAGCTGCACCAAGCTCCTCAGAAGTTTGACCAACCCTCAGTATTCACCTGACATGGGTTTGTGGAACAGGATGCCCAACTCCCAACCAATAAATTTCATGTCATGATATGGTGTTAGTATGGTGTTTGTTTGTTTATCACTTTCCTGATGGAAGGCCCTACTTGAGACACACACACACAAACCGGGTTTGGGCAAAGCTTTGCAGCTACCTGTTTTAGAAGGAATTTGGATGGCCAGCAAGTTGCGATCGTTGCAATGTATCTATGAAGCCGTGTTGGACCGATTCCCTCGGTCGCCTTTTGTCCAAAAACTAGCCCATTCCAGGCCGCCAAACCCATGCTTCTTCATGGCTCATGCCTTTTGCTGTCAAAGGACTCAGAATTTGAATCGAACGAGACATCTTCAAAGCACGCTCAAATGTTAAATGTTTGAAGGGATGAAAGCAAGTGAAATGTTGCTTCTTCCATAGTAACCTGTCAACACCTTGTCTTATCAATTAGTAATTAGCGTATAGAGAATGCCCACAATGTTTGCACCATTGGTGGAGGGCACCGGCAGCAGCTTTGGAGGCCAAGAAACTCCATGTCCAAACGCATGACGACAGGCTGCAACAGGAGCTCCAACTCCTCCAGGCGGCCAGTGGTGCTATGCGCCCGTAGCCATGCAGGGATTCGGTGCAAAAAGCCGTTCCAATCAATTGAGGCATGTGAAAGGGTTCAGTGTTCAGTTCTCACGCCAAACAGACTGCCCAGAACTCCAACAACAAACAAGTTTCAGGTCACCAAAGTTTGATTCAGCTTTGAGCACACGCCCAGATCGGGGAGAGTTTACGTCCCACCTTGCCACAACAATCGCAGTCTGTGGACACCACACTTCCCACCAAGCTAATGTGCATGCACCCCAAGCACTACCTGATAGTATTTTGCTTGCTCCTCACAGCTGCGTAGCTCTTCACTATTTATCCACATGTGATTCAAACTTCTCTCAAGTTTTGTTAGGGATTTTGAAGGGTTTGTCTGGTTTTGCGCCGGGCACCGGTGCGCCAGCTCTACGTTGCCCCCGAACCTTGAAATGAAGGATTCCGCTGGGCACATCTTCGACGCCTTGGAATCGGCGTTCCGCCGGTCGACGCGGCGGGCGCAGCGCGACGAAGGAAGCTGCGACCGGTCGTTCTTGCGTTTTTCTGGTGGACATATGCCAAAGCACAAAACAAACGGGATATGGAAAACACGTCATGTCACCAAAACATGACCATCCTTTGAGAGGCTGGCTCAAATCCAGCCACAGGGTAATGGCAAACATGTTAAAACCCACCAAAGCTCCAGTTTTGGCCTTGCCAAGGCACAAAAATAGAGGAACGGGATCGTCTCTGGATCCTGCAAAGGCCGACTCTCCTGTGGTACAAACTATGAACACCATGGACATATATATATACATATGTATATAATTATATAGTATTATATCAATATTGAAAAACATATATACATACATAAATATATATATATATATAGGACATACTTGATATGATTACATGTGAGCTTATGTCAGTCGAAGAGCCAACAAACTCCAATGTCTAGCAGTGACATTTGTTGATCGCGGTTGATGCATCCCCGGTCTCCTGAATCTCGTCATGCACTGATGGGAGATCCTTTTCACCCGAGTGGAGCGCCGATGTGGGCGTGCAATTTCTACCCCCAGCAAAGCACGATTTCTGCTTGGGCCCCAATGCTGGATCACTTGTGATTCTTCTATTGTCATGTTCCGTGCTCTGCCATTCGGGTCCTCAAACAAAGCTAAGAAGCGCGTTGGTTCAACGCTTGTCTGAATAATCAGAGCTTTATAAAAGACTGAGCCTTTCAAATGGGCGACTTCGCGTATTTCCGGCGGAGATTCTCCGCGTACATTTACACTACTCGTGGGGCATGCAAGGATCGAAGGAGACCCAAAGCTTCGAGCTCGAAAAGTCCTGATCAATGCCTGGCAATGGATGCAAGCGGTGCGCAGCCACGTCTTTCATGCGCCCCGCTCGGATCTCCGACAAGGGAAAGGCAGCATGCGCCACAAGGTCGTCACTGGACAATGAGTCATAGTCCCATAAAAGGACATGAACCCAAAGCTCCTCAATTGGTACGTCTTCAAACTTCTTGGGGAAGGCCAATGCGATTGACTCGTTCCACATGGGATTGGAATCCTCTAAGACAGTCAACGATTTGGCAAACCGACGGACGGCCGCCTTTCGGTCTTTGTTTCGGCTCCGCATCACGCGTTGCTCAACTCCTGGCTCCTGCTTGAGAGGGTTGCCACGATCAATGCTGAAGGTAATGTAAGGATCAATGACTTTTCCTTTCTTTTGACCTGGATCTAATCTGCTTGGAAGATTCTCGGCCTTGATCAAGTTGCACATCACTGCACCACGATCGAGGTCCGCGGCCTGCATGGCTGCTTTGGATTGCATTTTGTGCCGTGTCAGTGCCAAGACCCTCCGCAACCCTGCATCAGGACCTTCCAGCATCATCCCAATATGATGAGCCACCTCTGTCGCATAGTCGACATCCTCTTGACTAAACTTGGAGCCTTCCTGTTTGTTGATACACTTGATGGCACCAAGGCATTTACGCGATGTGTCGAACAAAGGCACCACTAACTCGGAACGCACGACCATCCCACTCCCCTGGTAGTTCTTGTGCCGCTCCTGAAACCAGCCAGATTGTTGGTCCTGCATTTCCACATTCATCACATGGCCTACCTGGACTGCCTCTCCGGCCACACCGACACCTACAGGTGTTCTGTGGTGTGGCAATGGCCCATCAATGACCTCTGAGAACAACTCCTGCGTCTCTTGGTCCAAAAGCATCAGTGCTGTGGCCTCCGCGCCCAGCACGGTTCGGATGCCTTCCAGGGCCGGGACGAAGAGCGTGGCCATGCGCTGCGACGCAGCGGAGGTGAACTCGGGGGAGCCGGTGATGCGCATGGATTTCTCACACTGTTCGATGACCTCATTGAAGGTTTGCTTGTCATCCGCCACAGCCACAGAGATGTGCGAGCAAATGGCAGAGAGTACATCTTCATCTTTCTGTGTGAAGGTGCCATTGTTGCCCTTCTTGTTAGTCACATTGAGAACACCATAGACCTCTCCACCTTTAAACACTGGCATACACAAAATGCTTTGCACCGAGATGCCTGTGTTGAGATAGTTGTCGTGGAGCTTGGGATCATAGAGCGCTTCATCCCGAATCTCCGCGATGTTGATGAAGTTCCCGGACTTGGCCACATGGCCGATCACGCCCTCGTTGATGTTCCAGTGAAAGTTTGGGGGGCAAATTCGCAGACTGATGAGAGGCCACCAGCTCATTGCGCTCCCGGTTGAGGATCAAGAGGCCAACAGCTTCGGCCTGGAGAATCTCCTGCACTTTGCTGATGACAATCTCAAAGGCTTCTTCGCGTTCCTTGTCCTTGCGCTGCTGCACGGCGGCATTGGGATCCATCACAAACAAAGGGCAGCATCCAAGGATACAGCCGATGGTGATGCCAATGAACTGACCGATGTTACGCCAACGGATGGTTTGTGGCAGCTCTTGCTGAGCATCGCTCAACTTGGGCTCCTCGAAACCTGAAGGAACGAGACGACTCGACTTCGCGACGACTTAGTTCGCCGATGGATCACACATTTGTCACTAGTCTTGGTACAAATAGCGATGCACTTGTTACTAGTAGCGATGCCCCTGCTACTACTAGCTTCTTGCTACTAATATCTACGTAATAGCGTTGCACTTGTTACTAGTAGCGATGCTCTTGTTATGAAACCAAGTCGCAACAAATGTCCGTTTTGTGTTGGGTCCAGTGGGTGCAGGGGGCATGGGAGTAGGACTTGGAGGACACGTGAAGGACATGAAGAGGAATGTCCAAGCAAAAAAAGTGTGTCGCTTCATCAGATCAGAAACCGAGCGCTTTGCACTTGGATTCTAGCCACTGTCCTGACCAAATACCAGCACCATCGCTGATGGTGTTGCCGATGGCAGCGGCGGCCATGGTGCTGAAGTTTAAAGCTACACATAGAGTGCTATCTATCAAATCGCCGAAAACGATCATCAGGAAATTGTCGAGAAATCCAAACCCGATGAATGGCACAGCTGCTGCCTGCATGCACCTGATCAAAAAGCAGTTAAAAAGCAAAAGGTCAGCCACCATGTTGAATATCTGCAAGAGTGCAAACAAATGCAAAACGTTTGATTCCCCTTGAGATAAGCAATAGCCACAAAAATACCTACTGCAGTGCCTACTATCATGAAGATCAGCCAAACATCCGCAGGGTCATAGCACCATGCCAAACACTATGCAAAACAATGCCCGGTTTGTAGGTCTAAATGGCTCGTAAACAAACAAGCCACGATAAGCCACGCATGTATAGATGATCGTGCATCTTCACCGGTAGATTCCCATGAACCTGTTTTGTTGGTCCTCTGTGAGGCGTGTTCACCCGGGGTAGCAATGTTCCACCATGATGCTCGATGATGCTAACCCAAAGACCATGCCTGCCTCTAAAACTTTAACACAGCTTTAGTTTTGCCATTGGCCCACCTGTGCAACTGTTCCCTGCTTGGAGGCTCCACATGCTCTTCATCAGGAACAGCTGTGGAAGAGAAGGACTGCGTTGGAAGTGCCTTTGGACAGCTGTCAGCCACACGATTGACAGTGCTGGGAAGCCGCACGCCGGCCGAAGCGAAGCTCGGCCGAAGCGATGGCGTTCGCTTCCTGGCACTCAACTCCTTGGCCAAGCCACTTCGTAGCACGAAGCGCCCTGGAAGCATGTCGGCCGCGGCAGTGCCGCGTCTTCGGCAAATGTGGCTTGAGCTAAACCGGAAAAGGACCGGCACTGATCACTGACCCGTGGCAAAGCGCAAGACTTTTAAAACGAATGAGCCTCCACTAGCCAGCCCCTAAAAGACTAACATGGGTCTGGCTTGCCATGCAGAAAGAGATGGGTCAATGCTAAACAAAGAGAGCGGGGGACTGTGAGTAACATACAAGGTTTCTATATAGTTGTTTAAATCTAAAAATGATTATCTGCAGAGATCTATAGAGAATCTTGTGTAACATAAACGCGTCTATATGAAATGTTTCCAAATCTGAACATAGTTATAAGCAGAGATCTAGAGACACTTTTATGGCCTGCTTCTTTCCTGATTATTTTGTTCAAAACCATCTGAATGACTGCTTGCTGCTTCCAAAACAATAAATTGACCCTGATTCAGGAATACATAATATATTTGTTCATATAGAGAGCAGGAACAGATTATATATATATATGTGTGTGTGTGTTTATATGGAGAGGGGCTACCACTGAAGCATTTACCTAAATGTTTGGGAAAAGCAAAACCCAGGCCCCATGTTAGAGTAGAGTGGTATCTGCCCTGGAGTGAAAACAAGCATCTTTGCATATCTTGAGCATCAAATGATACCAAACACTTTTAAAAAACAATTAAAAAAACTAAAAGCATTATCTAGATTTCTGCGGGTAAGAGCTTGCATTTTCAAAGTTTTCCTCTGGATCTCTGGGAAAGTAGATATCCCATATATGTGTGTTTTCATGAAATGAAAGCTCTTGAAAGAAAAGTATATCTATTGATATATAGCATGTTTAAACTGACATGATCATTTCCAGATATCCAGAGGAAAGCTTTTGAAATGAAAGCTTTTATATGTTTTTATTGTAGAAATGATCATCCACAAAGATCTAGGGTCTTAGAGGGAAGCTCTTGAATTAGACGCTTGTACATAAAACAAGTTTAATATGTCTATATTATTTCCAGTGATTACTGTAAATAAACAAAATCTAACTATTTACTTCAAAACAGAGTTTAAGTCTTGTTCCCAGCACTCCCAGGGCAAAAAAAATACTGTAAAACACGGGGTTTTGTAGCATGTGTTTTCTTAAACTAAATAGACTAGAGCTAGAATAGAATTAGGTAGAATTAAATTGGATTGGAGTTAGAGCTAAGATAGAACTGAATTTAAACCGAATTTCAACTAAACTTGTATTGAACTATAACTATACTGTAACCTAAAATTCTAATTTTAGATGAGAGTTGAATTAGAAAGGAATTGGAATTAAAAATTAGAAGTTCGCCAGAATAAGATGTAAAACGCTTGAGCTACAAAATGCACAAGTCGCGGAGGCTTCGAAATTACAAAGCCGAAGCAAAAGCAACAAGCATTGAATTAGAACTACAGCTTAAGCAGATTCATAACAATTTCATGTAAATTGGAAGGTATCATTACAGTTTCATATCAAGCTGATTGGACATGCAATTGGCAACCACATTGATACCAATCAGAAGTTAATGCACAGACTTGTACATGGAGATTTCGACAAGGACAAAGGGAGTGGTGGGCTCAAACGCTTTCATTGTAAGAGCAAAGAACATATGCCTTTAGGTGAGACTTAGGCTCACATACTTGAAGGTTGAACGAAATAGTAAGAACACAGATTGACCTAAATAGAAAAACCAAACACAGATTGACCTAAATAGAAAAACCAAAACAACAAAAAACCTTGAGCCAACCAATAACAACCTAGGAAAATCAAAAAACAAAAAACTTGGGAAAACCAAAAAAAAAGAATCAAACACACAATTCTGGGGAAGTCTTGAGGAAAGGGGCGGGTTCAGGCAAGAGTCTCTGAGAATTGGTTTTTGTTTGTTTGTTTGTTTTGTTTTGTATTTTTTTGGAAGTTTTCCCAAGGTTTTTTTGGCTTTTCCTAGGTTGTTATTGGTTTTATCTATATTTTCTCGAGACTGTTTGTGTTTGTTTTCCAGTGCAAAGGGCATTGAGGCAGCTTTCACAAACACATAGCATGAATGCAGGCCACAGTGGGAAGTTTATAGCACATAGATGGAAGTAGGCAGCAAAAACACATAAAATACGCACTCTGGTGGTCCCCTGTTCTGTAAACAAACCCATCCAAAATCCAAGCGGGCCTCGCCTTAGATTATGCTTTTGTTGCTGTCTTAGATATGCCATGCGGGGCCCTGAAAAAGGATCGCAGTATCTCGCAGTTTGTAGAACTAGTGTAGTGTAGCACCTCTAGGGATATAAGCGGAAAATCAAAGGATGGTCTCTTTCTCTGACTGGTGTGCTCAAACCAAATCCTGAACATCTGTTGAACAACTGCAGCCTTCCACAAACACCTTGCCTCTTGGTTCTTCTTGTTCTTCAATGTCTCGCGCCGATCGCTGTAGTAGCCACTGTCCTGAACGCAGGCTGAAGGCGGGTGAGGGTGAGCGAGTGTGCCGGTCATCTGTCAGGACAAGCCGCGACCACAGCGAACAAGAAACCACAAGAAACCTAACATTTGAGAAGCTCTTCCAATTTGAGGTACTTTGAACGACTCAGGTCGTGTGGGTCTTGGCAGGTGGTCTGAACTCCATTTCAAACAGCTGAACGTGGCAACCCAGGACGCAGCAACCCAGAACGCAAATCCCTGAGATGCCTCGGGGCAAATGATGATTGGCCGCGACCGGTCTGCTTCACGCATGTTGTCAATCCTCGGATCTTCTGGGGTTTTGGGCTATGTATTGAAGGACCTGTGTTAGGACATCAGCTATGGGAAAGCTTCCCACATCAAAGTGGAAATGGCTTATATAATGTGTTTAAAATCCAAAGTTTCATGATCTCAAGCTTTCCAGTGGATTGAGTCTTGACACATGCTAAAACACGCAAACAGCGCTACACCTGCACCTTCACCTATACACATCAGCAATCGGGTTCTATGAGCCGACCAGCTTCTGAAAGTGATGCACAATGAACTTGGTCTTCCGCTCGGCTGATTTCTTGCGCAGCCTGGCTGAGAGATAGCCGGCACCGAGTGGGGGGGCTGTCGACGAGCGGCCAAACATGTTGAGACATTGGAGGGCCACTGGACATCCCTTGGATCAACTTCTTTAAAGGCTCTTCAAATCTGCAGGGAAACTAACTCACCCACTTCCATCTCTGGGTGACAGCAGCCATGGGAAGTGGAGAATCTTGGAAAACATTACAAGCATCCTGCAGGATGACCGGAATCCCAAACCTTTGACTTTCGACATACTTCGGCATCCTTTGGATCTCTGGGGGCTCTGCTGGATGTGATCCACGGTCACGGCAAAAATCTCCTCATCTGAACCAGTCACGTGGTCACAACCCAGGCTGTGAGCCGCGGTTTGGAACCTCAATCCGCAGTGCAACGCGGTGGTGCAACGCAACGCGGTCCAAGCTTGGCCTTCAGCGGCTTCAACGTTCAAAGTGGTCCCATTCAAACTTTTTTCTTAAGAATCCGGACTCTCCTGGTCTGATGAAACAACTACTTCTAAAGCATGTGCCAAGCCAAAAACACAAATGAGGTTGATGGACACATGTTATTTTTAGGTAAGCGCCATGGCCATCCCCTGAACGATTTATATACATTTAGGCACTCGAAATGAACCTCCAGAACGTGAGCCGCTGTTTACTTTTAGTAGGGTGGGACCACCTCTAGGACCAACCAATGCCCACCACGAATGGCTGCAAACTCCAATACGACAAAAACCCCTGGGAACTCCGACACGACGCAAATCTGAGCACCCGCTAGCTGAAGATCGATATCCCAACCTGAGATCTGCTGAAAACATCTGAAAACCATCTGTTGGAACCTAATCGATGGTTTGCACTTTTCTGCATCTGAATCCTCACCGCCAGGCTGCTCTAGACCTAGCACTTACCTGCTTACTTGCCAAAATGCACAAGAGTAAAACCATGTAAAGCCACAATTTTGTTGTTTTCTGATGTTTCAATATAATTTACAGCAGAAATCAGTAGAATATGTTCACATCTCTCAGTCTGTCTCTGTCTCTTTCTGTCCTTGTCTGTAGTGTCTCCGTGTGCCTCACACTAGCAGTGCGGTCAACTGACCAACTCCTGTTTGATGTCAGTTTTAGCAAGAAGGATCTACAGTATAGGAAACAAACATGTGCAGCCAAAGATCTGCAACGACTTCGTCATAGAAACTGGTTAACTTGTGGTGGACAGCTGGTTTATGATCAATGTTGGACATCCTTAATAGGTAAAGCGTGGGGATCATTGCACATGAAAGGAGGGCGTGGTGAGCGTTGAGCGCATGGTCTCCTACAGCAGCCTTTGGGGTGTGGCTCCTTTGATCCCGCGGGCAGTTGCACACACAAACCTTGGTGGTGGAGTAGAGTAAATATGTCTTTAAGGGGAATGTTCTCAACATATCTCCAAATGGGGCAACTTTGAAGAAGCTAAACAGGTTTGCGTTCCGCAACAATGGGCGAGCCAACAAAATTATCCAACGCATTGCTTGCTTGTTTACTTGGTTTCTTCTTGCTTTGCCTTGCCTTTGGAAAACTCGCTGCTTGGAATCGGGTTGCTTGCTGGTTTGTGCTTTGTTTTGGTTGGTTTCAGCTTACTGGGTTAGCTTTGCACAAGCTGGGGGGGGTGGGGGAGGACGGCTGGGGTGCTCACAAAGAACCAAGAAGAATGCTCATTTCCTTGGGGTAAAGGGTAAACGGAAAGAGGGTGAAGTCTATTTATATGGTCTCTTGATGTATCTTATGGGGATCGCATGAAACATGATCTACAGCGATCTTCCTTCCTCCCTTGCTTCCTTCCCATTTTGCTTGCAATTGGTTTTCTCGCTGACGTGCTTTTGCTTTCGGGATGCAGGCTCCCTCCACTTTGCTTCGTCGTCGTCGTGTACTGGTGGTCCAGCAGGCGAAAGCAAGGAAAGGAAGCAATTAATTACCCAAAAGCAAGAAGACTACCGGAAAAACAACAGTTTCATTTGCATAAGCAAAGCCAAAGCATTTCTGAAAACTAAAACGCATAGGCATGCAAAGAATCCCAAAAACGCAAGCCTGCCATTGAAAAAGTATGGGATGGCAGACTGGAGTCTTGCTTTGGGTGGAAGCCACGCCGGAAACACAAGCAAAAGGCACACCTCTAGATTCGAGATAGAGATGTTGAGATGTTTCACTGATTCACATTGTATCAAACTTCTTTTCATACGGTTGATTCACCACCTCCCCTATCATCACAAATGAAATGGTACAGTACCAGCACTTCTCGGCGCTTACATGCAGTCATGGTGGCAATCAAAGTGCACGGAGGAGCCTTTGTCAGTGCCCTGCGACAAGAGCTGATCCCTGACGCTGTCGGCACGAGAAAGAGGTGAGTGTATGCTGCGAGTCCCCACCCTCCAAGGCTGTCTAAGGTGTTCTTTCGTTGCAACATGACATGGCGGGAAGATGTCTTCGACAAGAGAAACACACCGATTATTTTTTCAGTGAGCACAAGAAGCAAAACACTGAGCAAAACACATCAAACTACACAAACAAATGGACAACTTTTAGGGCTCACTTTGACTTGAACATGTGTCAGTTGTGGTAGAACGCCCATCCATGACCGGTCCACCGGCCTCACGGAGAAAACTCGGGCGGTTCCATCAAAGAAGCGGTCCACATAGAGCTTGCCATGCCTCTTCCTTGCAAAGAGTGATGCTGTACAGATTGTAAAGATCTTGCACATATTGAAGCTTGTGGGGGTCTGGAGTGAATCATTTGGTGCGTGAAGTACTCAATTTTTGAATGACGAACTTTCTCGTGCGTTCACACATGGCCGACTTGGCCATGTGTCATACATCATAACTGACAAACTGCACATGGGTGGGTTCAATCTGAGCCTTGTGACTAAACCATACTGTACTAAACCCCGATCGCTTGCACCTGTGATTTGCACTCCTTAATGGCCAGCGTGATGCCTGGCTGTTTCTCCTTTCAAACGTGAACTTCGGTGGGGGTAGGTCTTGCGGCTTTCTTCTTGCTTGGTTCCACGTTGAGTTGGGTGCAGGAACTCTCTCTACGGAAATCCTTCAAAAATCCTACCCTTGGTGTAGAAGCTGCACCTATTTGCCACCCCCCATCCACCCCCTCTAATTCAACCCAATTGCATCTCGATGTCTTGCGCTCGATGCCTCGCGGACTCGCCGTCCCCGAACAAACAAGACACCTCCGGTGTAGCGCCGCCCTGGGCTGCCCGGCCGGAAGACTGCCCAGCTTGGACCCCGGAGGATCTCCTCCGGTATCGGTAGCTTCGAGTGTTGGCTGCTGTGAAGGTTCCCCCCACGCCTTTCGTGGGGAGAACCCAAGGTTGGAACCTGTTTGTCGTCCAAAAGGTTGGAAGATTTTTTGATATTTGTTGTCCAACCGTAACCGTGAGTCTCTGAACTTCAGAGAACTCTTTGCACTTCTTGATCTAGCTCAAAACGCGCACCATGGCGAAGAACCTCCGTGAGCTTGGCACTCCTGCTGCAGGCTAGTGAAGGAAGGTGGATCGTCCACGCAGCTTTGCACGAACTCCGCGAAGCCTCCATAGCCAGTGACTAAAGGGATATATACTGTACCGAGCCATGTCTGCGAAGCTAGACCACTAATCCATCACCACATGATGTGAAGAATTGTGGCCTGGTGCAACCTTTTGTTGGCAAGTCATCCTTTTTCGTGGGGCAAAACAAATAGTTTTCGGTTCCTGACAGGCACACCATGGGTCCGAACTCCGAACCATCCGCTCTGCCTGTGTCCCCCATGAGGCAGCGGTACCCGGATCTCTTTGGAGGGTAGAAATTGGAGAAAATTCAACACACCCCACAGTCGGAGTCCGGTCGGAGGGGCCTGCTCCGTTTTTCGAGTCTCACATGTTCTTAACAAATGCCGAAAAACAGCGAAGAGATCAGCGAAGTGCTTGTGGTCCACGTCGTGGTCTGGTTGACTAGTGGTGCCACGTCGACTCTCGCTGCACTGTTTGGGACCACTCCCGAGCGCCGGCGATACGACACTAGAGATGGTCCCAAAGGATCCCAAAGGCGCTCCCAGGGCAAGGCCAATGCAACACTAGGAGGCCCAATCTCTGCTGTTCTCAGAAAAACTATTCGCCACACATACAGACAGATATATATATATATATAATTATATAACACTTCTGCCACCTGATGCGCAGTTGCTGCCATCCGTCGCTGCCTGCTTGGTCGTTGACCTCCCCCCCGCTCATCCAGCAAGATCCGCTTCAAAAATGCAGCCATGGCTGCATGCGACTGGAGCGAGTGCACCACTGAAAAGCCGTCCTGCAGCGATCGAATCTCCGATTTGGACCTGACACATTGTCTCCAACAGTAGTCAATCCTGCTGCCAGGACAATTGGGGTCTCGACCAGGCCCGAACGTTGGAGCTGACATGTGCACAAGTAGGTGCACTATATTGTATATTGATGGGTAAAACATGGACGATGTTGAATAGAAACTTGAAACACAACTGCCGATAGAAAATACATCAGTAGCTGATATAGAGATCGCCTCTTGTTACCTTGCCCGAGACCTGGCAACCGCCAGGAAAGAAGTGATGGGCCATGGGAAGTTCACATGAGAAGGACAATCCAACAACAATTGCAGTTAGTTCGCATCGTATAACCAAGTTTCATGTCAGCAGCGAATGCTGACAATGACAGTTCGCTGCGGGGTCCTGTGACAGTGGCTCTGTCTTGCCGACAATCTCGTCCAGCGCCCCATCCTCATCTCGTCCAGCGGAGCGCTCTTCCAATCGTCTGGACTCACCGTTCGAACATCAGCATCTGTCTGCACTCACCTATAGAAACGTGGGCCCCAAATAAATAGTGGCACGATGTCCAATATATACATTTTTAGTGGCTCGTTTAGGCTGCAAGCTGACATTTCTGCAAACTCAGTGGCACTTCGAAAGGACACCGCAGTGGCAAGTGTCGGTTGTTCAGCTTCCTCCTGGAGTGCCACAAGTTATGGTCAACATCAGCCCATGAGGGAGCATTTCCTTCTCCAACGTGCGGTTGAAAAATGTTGAAAACGCGAACCCCCCACATACAGGTTCACTGTTAAACGAAACCAGCTGACCGCCCAACAAAAGCCAAAAAACATATTTCACTTCTGAATCTTGCGTAGGAGAAACCTTGCCTTCATGCATGACACATTAAACCGGTCTCACCACTCTTGACAGAAAGAACAAAGAAAGGAGAATGCGAAGTGTGCAAACCAACTCGGTAAGGGTTTTGGCAGCCAGCGGACCAGCTATTTACATGTTGGACAATGATCTTGGGACAGTTTTTGGCCACATGATGCATGCATAGATCAAAACGTGCAACAAACACCGTCTGCCAAAGAACCTGTTGCAGGGGCGGGCCTCATCTGGAGCTTCATCCTCACTTCCCTGAGTTCCAGATTCGACCGCGTGATTCTATGTACCAGTAGCAAGGTGCATCGCTAGTAGTAAAGGGCATCGCTACTAGTAGCTAGAAGCTACTGGTAGCAAGTGCATCGCTACTAGTCTTCAATATAACTATAATTTGCTCAGAAATGAGACCTAGTCACTATATAGTCTCTAGGTCCTTAGATCCTGGCATAGCGATAGAAAGTCATCCCTTCATATCCCTTCCTATTTCTGAGGATGTCGCGTGCTCCTCTTGAATCAGTTACATGCTCCTCTGCATCAACTACCAACCTGAAAATGCCTGAACCTTACAATGTCTTCCAACCACCACCCAGCTGCACCACGCCAACTGATATTAGTTTCAGCTCCAAACATGCAAGCGCATCAGCTGTCGGAACACTCAGAAAATGGAAGCAAAATAATGATGGCACACTTCGAGTATTTGTGGGGCCAGCCACAGATGTTTTCGCGGAAGTTGTGTGGGTTTTCTTGTGTTCTCGTGTCTCCACCGCGGAGCAAAGAGTTTTCCTGAGGAGTGGAAGGACATGATGGTCCCGTAGCTGGAAGTCGCAACGGGACCAGATGTCCATCCAGACCAATTCAGTGCCATTCAGTGCCATTCCAGCAAGACCAACAGCTGAAGAAGTGAAAACAAGAAGGGCCTGCCACACAAATTCTTACCACCCGCTGCCTGTCGTGAGTCCGCTGCCGCAGCCCTGCTCGACGGCAGGCAGTGCTGCTTGACCTGGCGGCCAGGGGCTCCAAGGAATGGAGTCATAGATAGATGGCCCTAGAAAAGAAGTTTTAAGATTCCCCAGCCAAAAGAAAAGTGTTGGGAAGACGATACAATATGCACATACATATATATATATATATATTACACAGTATATCATATACATGTTATGTTCGTATTTTGGAGATCATATGAGGGAAATGGAGGCCCACAAGTACTTCAGGGTAGTCCATGGGTGACCCATATGGACGGTCCAAATATATGTACAGCATACATGAATATCCACATAGAGTGTTTCTCAATATATGCATGTGTCATATTTGCATTTCGATATGCGTGCTTCACGAGTTTGCATGCAATGGTCGTTACATGCCGGCAAAGACGAGAACATTTCTCTACAAATGTATTTAGTCGGGAGCATGGCCTTGGTCAGGGCCTCAGCTGAGTTGGATAGCAGCATCTGTTCATCACAGGGCCGTCATGCAGTGATACTTTGTAGGCGCAAACCTGCCAAATCCCTCGTTTCGGGAGAACCCATTCAACAAGCATAGAATTGGAGAGATGGCCTCCACCATGTTCCAGGCTTTTTCTTCAGATTCGTACATACATAGAATGGGCAGCCTATTGGCGGCAAGCATCCCTCTGCTCGGCTGCAAAAAGAGCTTGCCCAAAATGTTCAATGCCTCTCTTGTTGATGGTCACCACGAACCCAACATTGTAAAAAAAGGGTCGGGGGTCCACCATATCCAAAGTACAAACAACACAATCACCTCACCTCCATCAGGAAATGCTGCCAAAGCTTTCCTGTGGCTTTCGTGGCTTTCGAAACCGGTGGGCGCAAGCTCCATGGGTGTTGCAGCATGGAGCTAGAAACCGGAGGCCCCCCCGGCACAAACACACAATATTCCAGTTTAAATGACCAACAGCACGATCTCTGGTCTAGCGAAGTATATGCTCTTGGACAATTTGGAAATGAGATAAGAGCTGTGAAATGATGGTTGGAAAAAAGCTCCTATATCATCAGGAAAGAGCCTATATGCCACAGCTCCTATCTCATCAGGTCAAAACATACAGAAATGAGCCTGGCACACACACATTTATGTTGTCACGTAAATGTTTGAGATTGCATAGTTTGAGGTTTTTGACATTAAACCGCACATGACCTAAGGAGTATGCCACCAACATAGCATGTGGCAACTAGGGGGTGAGATAGGAAAGCGTTTACCTCAATTCCAGGGCGACAACCTGTCATGAGTTCAAGGTTCCTACTCCCTATGTTAGAGTTTAGAACTTTATGGACCGCCAAATGGCCCCATGGTAAAAAGCTATAATAAGCCATAGGTCTGTTTGAGAAGAACTTGCGTGGCAAGAAACTATATGACATAGCTCAGGCAGTGGGAGTAGTCTTAGGGAGCGCACGAAACAGTCATGAAGCTTGAAACAGTCATATGATCATCTCTTTGGGCACGGTATTTTGTTATATTTTTTCGGAGTAGTGTATATACTCACAGAACGTCCACAGCACAGCTCCTGCATTTGGCCCACAACTGACTATGACTTAAACGCTGTGTCCCACAACCCCTATGCCTATGTCACTAGCCCTGAGCAGTATAGGACTCTAGTTTTGGGACTGCCTGTTGACGTTCTGCTTCAATTTGAAGAGATGAAGTTAGAACATGAACACTATGAACTATATATTATGAACCTTCAAGTGTTGAGGTCCCTTTAAAGTCCAAGCCTGTAGCTGTAGCTAGACACGAATGGTTGCAAGCTCGCAAGCTCCAAGTGATGACCGATCCCAACCGCTCCAAGCTCTGCGTCTCCTTGTGGCCACTGTCCATTGCGAAGCCCATTGGCCATCTCCTTGGCCAAGGCGTGAACCTCCGTGGTGGAGACTGACCTCAGTGATTAAGACGGTGACGATTGCGGGGGCATTGCGTCGTCATTCACGAACCGCTGTTTGCATTTGGGAGTGGGGTGGCAGGTTGAAAAAAGATGAACATGGCAAGTGCCCATCTGCTATGCATTCTTGCATTTCTTTGCCGTCCTTCAGTGCATTCTAACATGTACCCTTACATTTCTTTTCAACCACCTCATTGCATACATGGCTGGACTCCCCAGTGGTCAAAAATCATACTAAAATGCAAATTGCAACGTTCCACCCAACCTCTCCAAAAAAACAGGACTGGTGGAAATGGTGTAAAATCAAATTTATCTCACCGACACCATGGAGAACAAACAAACAAACATGCGACACTTGGATCCCCGACCCCTTTGGATCCCCTTGGCCTTCCCGACCCTCCAACACCCTCGCCCGATCTGGCCCCTGCCGAGCAGTGCCAAGTGCCCTACTTGGGTTGGACAGCCAAGTCCTCCTCCAAAACCCTCCTGGCACAAACAAGTGCTGTTGACATGTACATGGCGTTTACGACTTGGTTGATTGTTTGTAATCTGTCACTTCAATGGAGGGTTCCTGCTTAGGCAGGCACGGAACACAAAAGGGATGTAAGAGGACTGTTCTGTTTGACGATGTGCATGTGCAGCATCTAGGAAAACAAACTGCCATGATGAGCAAGATGAACACATACAAACACATACTCGATCTCTAAAGAACTGCAAAGCACCACGATCATAAAGAGAGGGCCTGGAGAGCTTGCTCCAAGAATTGGAATTCCGCATGATATATATATATATTCTTTTTTTTGGTACACTGTATTGTATGCACAGTATGTTGATGGAAAACAAAAAAGCCTCTAAAATCTTTTAACCATATTCTGCCAATGCGGAAGCCACGTGTCCTGACGAGCAAGTGCAACGCATTTGCTGTGTGTTCCACATCACTCACAGCCAGCAAGTCCTTGGAGGGCGACTCTCTCTCTCTCTCTCGGCAGCGTCTGGCTACAACGCAGCCGTCCCACAGGGACACGCTGAGGAAGGACGATAGCACTGCTGGACCCGCAGTTGGGGCACGACCGGAAACGACGGTGAACGACCACCGTCACGACCGGGGCACGACGTGAGCACGACCCAACACCGCTGGCCGTGGCTCAGCAGTTTAACTGCTCCCGTTTGGCCAGTGTTTGTCAGGTGCCGGTGTTTGGTTTAGAGAAGTGTTTTCCTGAGTCCAACGCCTGAAATGCTTGCTCTGGCGTCCGCTCCTTCTTCACCCAAACCTCTTCAGGAAGCTTCTCCAGCAGTTGCAGCAAGTTGGGCAAGCGACTGGACGCCGCCGCCTGAAACACGCCAGCATACACCCTTTGAGCCAATGGTGATAGAATTGGACATCCCAACTTCTATCTATACTTGAGCATGATTGTACATCTCTAACACCACTTCCAGAAGCTCGGTGGAAACACTGTGGCTACTCCTTACCCCCTCGCACCCTCTCTCAAAAACTAACGTGGACAACGGAAAACAAACCCGTGGAAGACCATGTTCCATAAAAAATGTACAAAGCAGGGGGGGTGTTCAGGCTCCTTTTGGTCCTCTCCAGTGGGCGTATTCCTTCTACATCCTATCTCTACGGTTCTGTTTCTCCACCGTCCAAGGTGCAAAGGCCGAAAGGTGACTCTCCTTCGCAGCGAAGCCTCCCGTGTGGAGCCTGGCCAGCGATCGAGACATCTAGCGACATCATGGCAGTGGGTTTTGCAGTGACAAGAAGCTACTAGTATCTCCTGGCATTGCTACTACTATAAGGGCATCGCTACTAACTAGTAGCTACTGTATTTGCTACTCTTCCAACATGTTCCAACGCCACCCCTGCACTGGCCTTCCACCCTTGTATTTTTGCCCTTCGGAGGTACACATTGAAGGCTTAGCAGCTGGAGAAACAGAAGCATCACACCTAAAAAACCTGTTGGCACATGTTGGTACAGCGAAACTGTGGGAACATGACCAACATCATCTGTCCTCCACCGAACCTGTCAGGCTTCTACTCACAACCTCGCTGAGGTTCTCAGTTCTACCCAGACTCTGGAATCCCACTTTACAAACCCATACAAATCCCAAGTTTGCTCCCGCCATCTCCCGTGGATGTGTGGATACATAAGTGCCATCAGGCCACAAAAACTTCAGAAACGTTGTCATGGTGTAGTGGCCTTGGTCCAGCACTGTCACCGAGAAAAAAGCTTGGAAGCCCCTAGAAACCTCTGGCCATCCAACCTCGAAAGCCAAGCTAGGTGGTTCACAAACAACTTGCAACAAAATATTCAGCAGTCTTCACCCCACGATCCGGCACTTTCGGCGCGAACCCTGCAACCAAAACCACTTGTCAGCTGGGCCCATCGCGAGTCCCATCGCGTGCTTGACTGGTTATATTACATGATCCATTGCAGTCCATTGCATGGCTTCGTTGAATTTCTCGGGCTTCACATGTCGATCTGGATTCGGCGCAGGCGCTTTCTGTCTGACTGCGCCGTCGATCTTCCGAAAACACTCCCGGCCACCCCCCGTGTGCGATCGCATTTACCTGGAAGAAAGGCGAACATGGATTGAATCAGGATTCTGAGGATTGACACCTTGCAGTAGCTTCGGTTCTGGTTTGTGTCTAAAAGACCCTGCACGGACTATTTGCCTCAACTTTCACAATTTGGTGAGCAGCGGACATGATTGTATGTACATCGTCACTTATGGATTCTAGACTGGATCCTAGGTTGCGCTCCCCAATGCAATGTGGCTGAGGCCAAGCGATCTTTTCTCAAAAAGCAAACACCCTGATAGGCTTGGACAATTTGGTTGCCCACTGCAAAAACAAATTACAGTATAAATATAAAACACAGAGTCTCAAAACATCAGCATATCGTAGCAAATCCTCATTTCACGACAATCACATGAAAACAACATCAACAGCGACAGGAACCAAACACCTGCTGCTGCTGCTGCTGTCCCCGCTCTGTGACGACGACGGCCATGCCGATGACTACCTTTTATCTACTACCACCACACGACTCACGACGACAACGACCATATACGACTACATTCTTGTTGCTACTGCCCCAACACCGTTCCAATCTACTGCTGCAAAGCCAAGCCAAAGCGGCACAGCATGGCCTTTTCCCGGCCGCGCTTCGTGAGACTCGGCTTCTGAGGCTCCACCAAACCTCAGTTGAAGCGTTGTGGATGCGACCTGTTAGGCCAAAGTGACGTTCCACCCGTTGGGTTTTGCTCAACAAACCTGATCTGCTAAAGGTGATCTGGAATGGTTCTAAACATGCAAAAAGTCACCAAAGCTATGGACAGCTCTTCAAGGACAAGCTCCTACCGGGTCCTACCCAGAATTCCAGTGTAAAGCGAGGTGAAACGTAGGGTGAGTTAGTGATCATAATTGGACTGGAATCCAGTGGGGCGATGTGATACTAAAATGAAACTCGACACGACGTGGCCAAACTCCGAAAACGGGCAGTGAACATGCACCCTGAAGGCTCGAAGAAGCGATCAAGCTGGGCCTGTCCAATCTACTCTAAAACTCTTGTTCATGCGTCTATGGTGTGTTCTGAGATCAGTAGATTCCCCACCACTGGCAGCTTGGTGCATTCTGAAACATACCCCGGGAGTGTGGTGCGTCCTGTTGTGGTTGGAACGGCCGTTGTTTCCGCTGGTTGGGCCCCGACCTCGCTCGATCATTTGCTGTCGCATCTCTCGCAACGAAAGGGCACCTCATAGGTCGCAAAGGATCGGCTCTGATGGGAAAAAGTAACCAGTGCTTCCGTGGGAGGCATTCAATGATCTGAGAATTCTGGGGACATATTAAATTATTGAATGTAGCAATGCAATTGGGACATTCTGATTCATCATGCATTCACACATATATATATATATATACTGTACTGTATATATATATATATTATAGTTTTTTTACTCCTCTGCATCTTTTCTTCCGGGCTGCCAAGCTTTTTGTCAACATTCAATTTGTTTGAACGGGGAACATCTACCTGGTGACCATGGGCCCATATAGGCCTGGTCCCTCCTGCCAAAGCACCCATGGTCAACTCCGGCAGCGTGCTGGACGAGGATGCAACAGTCCCAAGGTCCTGGGATGGGCATGGAAGGACATTGTTCAAAGTCAAACAGGCACCACAGGGCGGGCACACTCCAAAACATCCCAAAACAGCTGTTTCGGCGTCTGAAGGTGCCGGTGCCACACTACAAGGCGGTATGCCACCTGTCTTTTGGCGACACCAATGGCTACGGACCAGGTGGTATGCCACCTGTGTTTCCAATGAATTCGGGTGACCCCCCTCCTGCGCCACCCGGGCGACAAAGTGCTCCATCTCTCGGGGATCCTGATCCGAAAGGCTGTGAGCCAGTAGACTTGGCACCCTCGGACCATGTCCCAAGTCTCAAGTGGCAGCAATTGCAGCAACGGGTAGTAGTTGCAAGTCGCGCAACCGGAAAACCGAAATGAATGCCTAAAAGAAGCAACGTTAGAGAGTTATATACTTCCTGATCAATCTTTATCAATCTTTGGAGTGCTCAGCTGATCAGGACTCGCAGAGAGTTGCAACAATTCTCGGGGTCGTGGCCAAGAGTGCCGAGTGAGCAAACAAACCCACCATCTCAGAATAAACATGCTTCTCAGTTCAATACAATTTTCAACAAAATTTTCAGTTGCTTGTTGACAGCAGTGGCCAATGTCAGCCACACTAGCAGGCACCTCCTTGAGAACGATCTCCTTGAAGCCATCCTGGCGCTCAGGCTGCTTGGTTCAAGTCGAAGGTGTGATAAGCGCGGACTAAAGTACTAATCTACCTGAAGGGCTCGTATGCTTGTCCATCCTTGGTGAATGAAAAGCTGAGGAGAGGGGGTTGTTGAACACTAACAGTTAAAATACAGCAGAATAAGTGCCATTTCCGAAGGCTCTTCCCAACATATGAATAGAAGTGGCATGGACTTGAGGCCGGGGGTTGGCGACGAAAGCTAGCTGCATCTAATCACGACATGGCCTTAAACCGCATGGGGATGCAAGGCATGATGTGAAACATAATGGCCCCCAAACGGATGCTATCAGAACTATTATGCTCAAAATCTGACACATCCAAGAGGGGAGTTGAACCCGCCCAGGGGGGATCTAGCAGTGGATAACTCATTGGGTAGCCGATTCCATCCCCCAGCCAATAACATGCTAAAGCAAGAGTAACTCCAGCTGGCAGCTAGCTGAAGCAAGCTTACGTGATAAATCGTCACCGTTCTCATCTGATACAAACATAGTTTAACATCGCTGAACCCTCAGTTCCTGGAACGAACTGCTTGTTTTAGGATGTTGGAGGGAAGTATGCCTCACCGCGACCCCAAACCTACCACAGGCGGATGAAGCATTCAAACCCTTAGCTTCATTGCACGCCCCCCGATGTCAATGTCAGTGGCCTCAGCGGGAGGTTAGGTAGAGAAAACAACATCAATCAAACCCTGCACGTGTAAAAATCACAGGCTACTGCACGATTGAAATTCAGGGGCCACGCTTGCTGGATAGAAAGAATCTTGCAGGGGGTGATTCATATTTATTGGTCAACCATTGGTCCATCTATATACTGTATTGCATGACCAGGGCCCAGCGGATGATGATGGTTCCGTGTCAGGTTGCAAATGCCCTATATTCAAAAAATAGTAGTAATTACTATGTAATATTATCCCTAGGTTTCAAAGACTATGAAAACAATGGTCTTTTCGAAAGACTATAAGATTGCTGTGAACCACTCATGAACCACTCATAAGCATTCCCCTGTCGATACCCTTCGATGCCCTTCGATACACGGCGCCACGATCAGGTTGTCGAGTTGACACATGTGGCCATCTGCGGCCCAATGTAGCACCACATGGTGCTGGGAAAGCGGGTAAAGCATGTTTTTTTTCAATATATTATCTGAATCAATGAACGCTCTGGAATCAGGAATTTGCAAACACGATCTTTCTTTCGCATCCTTTCCGCTTCTTTGGGAGAGCCATGCTATGCGGAAAGCACTTCTGCTGAGGGGTATGCGGCCTAGCCGATGAATGTGAAGTAGTTCGATCTGATCCATTTTATGTTTAAAAAAGTAGGTCGATCTACTGGGGTGGCCGGTTCCCAGGTCTTGCTTCAGCAGCAGATGATTCATCATCTACTCCTGCATCTGATTCTGAATCTTCAGGCTGGACCGACCCTGGCAGCATGTGGTCTTGCTTTGGCCTCCAATGCTAACGGTTTTGCACTGATCCTGCCCCTGACCTTTGAACCCGCAGCAATTTTTTTTTGGGCAGCGATCTGCGCGGGCCACATGTCCTCGGACCGGCTGTCGCTGTTGAAGGCTTGGTCACTCTAAAGTTCGGCCATTGTGTCATTCGCTGACTCTGATCTTTTAAAAACATACATTGCATTGCCATCGAATTTTGCAGGCGTTCTATGAAGAGTACGTCACGGATGACTTTGTGAAAAAAAGGAAGAGGGACATCAAACACAAGACTGGAAAGAATAAAAGTGTCGGTCTGGCATGCATACGCCTTCGTTGCATTCAATGCGAAACTGTTTTGAAGCCAAGTGGCCTTGGATGCATCGGTCGATATCTCACGTCACCAGCTTGCCAGGCCTTCAGCATTGTCGATGTCAACTCAAAACATATTTCCGAAGTGGAGGACTGTATGGGCCATGGGCACACATGACGGGAGATGCATGCAAGTGTTGAAGATTGTTGAAGTGAATTGACCATGCATGTGTGCACCCATGCATGCATGTATTCCATCTATATCTGATGCGTCGTCAGGCAGAGAAGAAGGTGAATTTTGAATTCACATCTCGGTATTTAGCACACTTTATTGGCGACCTCCCCCTGCAAAAAGAAGTGGAGGCCCGCCAGTGAATCGGTTCTAATATGGGCAAAAATCGATTCAACTAGATTGATCAACTGCACTGAAAAAAAACATCAATCGAGAGTAAACATGAGCGTGCACTGTACTGATGAACCTGCAGGCTGTTCTTTGTGAGATGTCGATGGAGAGGAAGTGGAACAGCTTCGAGACCACCGCAGAACACCAGGTGCGGAAGGACATGGCGACATGCACACTTTCACAGCCTGCGTCTCTTTGCACCAGGCATGGGCGTTGATCGAAGGTGGCCTGCACCGGGCACTTGGTTCTTACGTGCTGAACCGGTTCAATCGCACCCAAAAGTGCAGGCAGGTTACACAGTTTTTCTCTGGGCCCATAAAATCATGATGATTTAACAACAAATGCTGCATGCAATACGCGTATGTATGCATGGGTGCTTCCAGGAAGTCTCATCCTCGCATGGAAGCCATGAAGACATTAGTGAGGATTCGGTTGGAGGAGCGAGAGACCGATCATGGCCTATATCGTGTACTTCATGCGGCAATCAGTACTATAGTGTCACTAGTATAAATCCGAATGACGAGTTTTTTGTGATGTGCGCCGATTGAATACGTGCATGTGCATGTTGCAGGAACTTGGCCTCCTGAACGATGATGGGAAAAAGATTACCTCTAGAAAGCGTTCGAGCACTTCCATGCAATCTCCAGATGATCAGGCTGTTATGGACCAATGGAATTGGGAAATCATGCATTTTTGTGATTGTGCTAATTATCATCCCAAGATGTGTGCATGCATATACTGGTGTAGTGCTTTATCACGCTACAGGATGTCTCGATTTTATGTTTGCGTGCAGGAAACACAAGTTCAGGATTCTCAGGGTCCAGCTCCGCCTGCTCCTCTCGAGCCCCAAATTGAGGACACATTTGGAGATGGTTTGGAGGGTGGTGAAGAAGAACACATGTCAGATGAGGATAGCGTTGTTGAACCAGTGACATGTCACATTGACCCTGAGCCCAGTCCTGAGCCTGAGATTCCCGCCCCTGACCAGCACAGTGCATCCGAGCCACATGCTGCTGTGGATGTGCCTCCCGATGGCGAGCTTGATGAGAAGCTACAGGTCAAAGGGACCTTCAAGGACCATGTTGATCGGCACCACTTTTGTTTGAGTCAAGCACAGCATCAATATGCATTTACATGGTACAAGGCAAATATTGCAAACATCGATCAAGCAAATGCTCGTGCACATTTTGCACGATCGGAGCTGGTGTGCAAATGCATTTTATCACATGCCATGCGTGCCGTGCAATCGAAACATATTTTGTATGTGTGCATGTGGTACGTTATGTATTTAAATTCCGCATAGTCACAGTCGCAGGATACAAAGCCCCTGGCAGAGATTCCGGATCCACCGGCAGATTCTCTCATGGGCCAGGCCCTGGAAGCTTGCGCAGCTATCGAGAAAAAGATCAGTGACAACAACTTGGATTTGGTGGAAGCCCAACGAGCTATGAAGAAAGCTGCAAGAGAAGCAGCAACTGCTGATGATGAAGATCCAGATCGGGACTTCAAAGATGAACACAGCGATGATGACAAACCACAGGGCCGAGGCAGAGGGAGGGGGCGCGGCAGAGGCAGGGGTCGAGGGCGAGGCAACAAGGATCAAGCTGATCCACCACCCCAAGATCCTGCCGACCCTACCATTGCAGAGAGGCCAAATGCTCCAAAAGGAGAGGCCGTTGCCAGCAAGCTTCCCAGGAAGAGAACTCTTGAAACCCTCGATGAGGCTGCGGCTGCGAGTTCAGCCAATCAACAGATGCGTGAACCTGTGCCGGAGGAAGAGGCACCTAAGACTCCGCCCACCATGTCTCCCTTTTATCCATCGCCAAAGGCTTCACCAAAGGCTTCGCCAAAGGCTTCACCAAAGGCTTCGCCAAAGGCTTCACCCAAGCCTTCGCCAAAGGCTTCACCCAAG